AATTATTTGCCTATAAAAATAAGTAACCTATTGCATATTAATTCCCATTTAGGAAGTAACAAAAATAAAACAATGCTCTAAACCTGTTTCTCCATCTTCAAAATAGGAAAGATATTCACTGATCAGTTTTTGTGATCAGTAGTTATAGTTAATGTATGTTAGTGTAATACTAGGAATATTGAAGTCTCAACATCCTCAATATAGGCTATTTTTGTTATTATTTACAATAGTGAAATATAAGAGACATTTTACGAACATTACTGGAATGTATTAATGTGTTCATTTATACCATTTAGCCAAATAACTTATATGTTGAACAAAGTAGACAAAAGTCCTTATCTTTATTGGAGAGTGCACTAAAATTATAAGAAAATAATAAGATATGTTTTAAAATGATCAGAACCAAAGAATAAAGAAAAAGGATGCCCATTAGAGCAATGGCTGTTTGAGGTAGGAGTGTTTACTATTGTAGGTGAGCAGGTGACTTTTTAGTAGAGCCTTGAAGGCGGTGACATGATGATAGCTGTGTCTGTGTGGAGGAAAATTGTCCAGCCAGATGAAGAGCTCTGCAAAGGCCTTAGGGTAGGAGGATGCTGACAGGGAGATATTAAAGAGGTCACTAAAGCACAATGAACAAGGGAGAGGAGTATAAAACATGGTCATAAAAGTAATGAGGAGTTAGACCTTGCAAGGATTGGTTGGACTTTGGCTTTCACTCTGAGTGAAATGCTGAGTAAAGGAGGTTTTAAGTATTGGGATGATGTTATCTGGCTTCTATCTGGAATGAACTTTCTGGTTACTTTGTCAAGAATCTATTGTAGGGGAGCAAGGTGATTGCAAGGAGGCCAGTTTGAAGGCTAAGACAGTATTCAGAGAAGAGATGATGAAGGTAATGAAAATGGTGACGTTTTTGAATCATTTTATAGATAAGAAAATATTATTTCATCTTTTCTGTTCTTATGTCTCATTGAAGTCTCCTTGATTCATTGTGTTTACCTTACAAGTTTTGTGGGAGTTTTAACTTTATTTTGTCAGACAAAATTCAATAAACAGTTCATGAAATAGCAGAAATAGAATAAACTGACCCAATATTTCCACTTCTGAATATTATCCTAATTTTATATGAAAAAAAATGGCTCATGTACAAAGGTAAGGCTATTGAAACATAAACAAAAAAGAATAAAGAAAGGAAACATTCTACATTTTCTACATTTTGAGTTTTAAAATCACTTAGTACCTTTATATTTTGTAATATTTTATAGTTTTTAAAAGTAATGCATTGGGAAAGAAAGAAAACACAAAACAACACACATGAATACAATATTGCACAAGTGAAAAAATATAACATAAAAGCACTTAAATGGTGTATTAGTTTCCCAGGACGGCTGTAACAGATTATCATAAACTTGGCAATTTTAAACAACAGAAATTTATTTTCTCACGATTCTGGAAGCCCAGTGTGAACAGGGCTAATGCTCCCTCTAAATGTTTTAGGAAGAATCTGTTCACACCTCTTTCAGCTTCTGGTGGCCCCAGGTATTCTGGACTTGTGGCAATATAACCCCAACCTGTATCTTGTACTTAGATGGAAGTCTCTGTTCATCCCTCTGTGTCCATTCCTAGTAAGAACACCAGTCATTGGACTTAGGGCCCACTCTATATCCAGGATGATTCTACATCTGAATCCTAAACTAAAAAACCCAATTTCTGAATAAGGTCACATTATGATCTTCTAGGTGGACATTACTTTTGGTATATGCTATTTAGTCAACTATATATTATATTATTGCAATCCTCTCATATATTATGCAAAACTTGTGTTATCCTATATAATAAAAGCCCAACGCGTGATGTCGTCACAAGATGGCCGCCACAAGATGGCCGGCAGCGCAGGGCAGTTGGGTACGAACAGGCCAGCAGGGGAGGGCAGTTGGGGGTGATCAGGCTGGCAGGGGAGCAGTTAGGTGGCAATCAAGCTGGCAGGCAGAAGTGGTTAGGGGCAGTCAGGCAGGCAGGCGAGTGGTTAGGAGCCAGCAGTACCGGATTGTGAGAAGGATGTCCCACTGCCAGTTTAGTCCTGATCCCACCTAAACCGGCAGTCAAACATCCCCCGAGGGGTCCCAGATTGGAGAGGGTGCAGTCCAGGCTGAGGGACACCCCCCATACACAAATTTCATGCACTGGGCCTCTAGTATATTATATAAAACTAGAGGCCCGATGCACAAAATTCATGAAAGGGCCTTGGCCCCCGCCACAAGGGCAGCCATCTCTGCCTCAGCCCCTGCCCGCCGCAGCTTTGTCCAGAAGGAAGGATGTCCAGTCCCATTAGCATGTTACGCTTTTATTATTATAGATAAGTAGAGGAAATGTGTCAGCTTGATTTTGCTTTAAAAGTAATATATTTTACTTTTTTAGATTTTTTAGATTTTTTTCAATTTTTCCAAATAAATGTGGAAAATTTATTACACTTGTTGAAAATTAAAAGCAATAAGAATTCACTGGTCAGCATGGGTCAACAGCCAGTGGTACCAAGCAAAAATAATTTATTTTAGATCAGATAACTAAGTAGGATTGAGTATTAACATTTTGCTAGGAATGAGAAGTGACACGCTCTAACTACTGCTATAATGGTGTCACAGTGATGCAGTACTGAGAATAGGCCATAAGGGATCAAGGATGAGGGTGGAAGCAAGCCTGGATGCTTCCCTTGTAGTTATCCAGGAAGTATATATTGTTAAGGTATCAGTACAGAGTGGTTCCTCAAATCTTCATGTCCTGTGTCCTGCCCCTTCAGCATTTTGTAAAAGTCCTTGATGGAAGCTACACTTGTTATGTATGATGCTCTAAGACGACACAAATCAGAATGGGGTGGCCATTTGATTAGTTGACAATTAAATTTCAACATTCTTTGGTTGCCAAATCTGATACACCAAACTGGGTAGATTCTTGAATTTAGGTTATTGGATGAAAAATTTATAATCAATAATTATATTATTTTGAATCTGTAGCTGTTTCATAGTGTATTAAACACACAATGGAAGGTATGTATCTAGATTTAATAAACTATAGTAATTGGAGTGTTCCTTTTTTGAAATTTGGTAGTAAATCAAGAAAGAAATTATTGTTTTCTGTGAGCAAAGAAACATCTGACATTTCTGACAGATATTTTTGGATTATACACAAATCCTGAATTCCACCAGTTCAACAAATAAAATAAAATCTCCCTCTGATATTATTTCCAGTCCTGACTCTTACATAAGACATCAGATAGTTCGTCAAAAATTATGTCACAAGAGGCTAACGCAGCTGTTATTTATGCCAAACTAATCTGTGAGGCCAGCATCAGCATAAGAAGTTCAAGTCCAAGGGACATAGGAGGCCTCCCAGTTGCCTGCCTGTCATTGCTAAGGGAAAGAAGGTTACAAAAGCAGCTGCTAACGGCACCAGAAGAGCTGCTTCCTGGGCATCACTGGGTTTTTAGCAGTGATTGTGAATCTGACCTATTCAATGTGGTTCACTTAACAAATATAACCTCAGAGGGGAGTACATATCCTCTGGTTTTCAATTTACCATGGGCAGTGTAACAGGGAAAGTAGAAAGCAGATAGTGGAAAGTTAGTGAAAGCTACAGGCATTTCCTTCTGGAGAAAAAAAGCCAATATATAAATTTATACATATATGCACATATATAAAATAAATGGAGGAGAGGATGTTATATTTGCCATATATTAATGGAATTTTTTAAAAATAAAGATATTTTATAGCAACTATATATGATTCAATTACAATAAACTTAATAAGTGAATGTTTTTTTTTCAAATGTAGATATCAGGTAAGAATTTGGGAAATATGACTCTGGAGCTCAACAGAGATGTGAGAGCTGAGAATCCACATTTGTTCTAGAGTACTTGCTAAAATTAGCAGCTCAAGAGCCAAACTGACAGAATTTGAATCCCTGAGATGCTATGTACTCATTTTGTAAATTTGGCCAAGACTCTGTAGTTCTCTAGTAAGTATTCAGTTTTTTCAGTTGCAAAGTGAAATTTAATTTTGTTCTGAGGATTAAATTACTCAATACATTTAGTGCCCATTTCTGTATTATTATTATTGTTACAAGAGCCCTGGTGCACGAAATTCGTGTGTGTGTGTGGGTGTCCCTCAGCCCAGCCTGCACCCTCTCCAATCTGGGACCCTTCCAGGGATGTCTGACAGTCAGACATCCCTCTTACAATCCAGGACTGCTGGCTCCCAACCGCTTGCCTGCCTGATAGCCCCTAACCGCTTCTGCCTGCCAGCCTGCTCACCCCTAACCACTCCCCTGCCAGCCTGATCGACACCTAACAGCTCCCGTGCAGGCCCGGTCACCCCTAACTCTCCTCCCCTGCAGGCCTGGTTGCCCCTAACTCTCCTCCCCTGCAGGCCAGGTTGCCCCCAACTGCCCTCCCCTGCTGGCCCAGCCACCCCTAACTGCCCTCCCTTGCCAGCCTGGTCAACCCTAACTGCCCTTCCCTGCCAGCTCGATTGTCCCTAATACTTCTGCCTGCCAGCCTGATCACCCCCTAACCACTCCCCAGCCAGCCTGATTGACACCTAATGGCTCCCCTGCTGGCCTGGTTGCCCACAACTGCCCTCCTCTGCTGGCCTGGTTGCCCACAACTGCCCTCCTCTGCTGGCCTGGTTGCCCACAACTGCCCTCCTCTGCTGGCCTGGTCCCTCCAACTGCCCTCTCCTGCTGGCCATCTTGTGTCCACATTGGGGCGGCCGTCTTGTGTGTTGGAGTGATGATCAATTTGCATATTACCCCTTTATTAGATAGGATTATTATTATTGATTAATGATGATACAAGCTGATTAGATGAGACTATCTAGTAAGTATAAATTATTTTTTTAAAAGAGCACAGAACCCTGGAAAACTGTCATATTTTGAAGTCAGGAAAGGATAGATGAGGCAATAAAGGTTAATGAAGGGAGTGCTCAGTGAAATAAGAAGCAAATCGGGAGTTTCTGTAGTCTTGTACAAGAGAAAAAATGTTTTGAGAAGGGAAAATTTGGCAGGCCAGCATTGCTCAGTGGTTGAGCATTGACCTATGAACCAGGAAGTCATGGTTCGATTCCAGTCAGGGCACATGCCTGGGTTGTGGGCTCGATCTCTAGTGTGGGGGAGAGGTGTGCAGGAGTCAGCTGATCAATGATTCTCTCTCATCATTCTGTTTCCATCTCTCCCTCTCCCTTCCCTCTAAAATCAATAAAAAATACATTTTAAAAAAATTGAAGGGAAAATTGGTCATTGAAATTGCTCAGTGTTTGAGGAAAATGAAGAAAGAGGATTGTTCAAAGGGTTGATTCAGCAGAATGGACACATTAGCATATTGGATGAAAGAGATTTCAGTGGGTTGTGGTGGGGGAAGAAAGCTGTAGAGGAGTGATGGGCAGGGTCCTGGAGGCACAGTAGTCAGGATGGAGTGTAGAGGCAGCTCTGGAATTCTCTTCCAAAGGTGAGCACAGGAATTCGAAGGTAGCTATAGAGTGAGATGGTATCAAGTGAGTTGTTTCTTCCCTCTAAAATGTGAGCATTTCTGTGGGCTGATAGAATTAATACAATAAACAGCAGAAACCAGGTTTCTGAGTTGGTGACAGCAGATAGAATCCAAAGTACAAGCAAAAAAGTTGATTTTAAATTTGTGCACCAAACTTGCAAAGATGGCAGCATATTTGAATACAGGTGGTTTTTGGTAAATTCGGTGGTGAGAATATGATAGTTTTAAAAAAATTGCTTATATTTTCTCAATAAAATAAATAAATAATGAGCAAGACCAACCATTGAGACTTGAAGGGGAAAGGCTATTAAAGTTATAGTTTTTTATTCATACATTTTTATTGATTTTAGAGAATGGAAGGGAGAAGGAGAGAGATAGAACATCAATGATGAGAGAAAATCCTTGATTAGCTGCTTCCTGCTTGCTCCCTACTGGGGATGGGGCCAGAAACCCAGGCATGTGCACTTATGGGGAATCAAAACCTTGACCTCTTGGTTCCTGGGACGAAACTCAATCACTGAGCAACACTGGCCTGGCTAAAGTTATAATTTTGAGGTAAAATTGAGTCTCACCATGTCCCCATAGCTTCTTAATATATTTCTTGTATTTTTTCTATAATATTTTGAAGTGTATAGACAAGTAAAACAGAAGGATTCGCAGATATATGCAGATAGGGTTCTAAGACAAATACGTATTCCTTGTACTTTAATAAAATGTGGGATAAAAAAGATGAGGGGAGCCCGACCAGTGTGGCTTAGTTGGTTGAGTGGGGGTCCCCTGCACCAAGAGGTAGCCAGTTCGATTCCCAGTCAGGGTACATGCCTGGTTTCGGACTTCATCCCCAATAGGGGCCATGCAGGAGGCAGTCAATCAATGTTTCTCTTTCATCAATGTTTCTATAAAAAAATAAATAAATAAGAAAGAAATAAATAAAAACATATTTTTAAAAGGTGGGGGGGAGGCTAGATATAATTAAGAAATCATGGCCATCCTTGATGTGGATGCAGTTATCTACAGAGAGCATAAATAAAAATGAGGAGAGGACTGGATACAAATTCTTGAGCAATGCCTCTATTTAGAAAGTGTCGAGGAAACAAAACAGAACACTGAAACAAAGTGGTCAGAAGGTCAGAAGACAGAGCAGGAGAGAGCAGAGAGTAATAAATAAATACCAGATTTCAAATAAGATTGGTCAGCGTATGTAGTTTCAAGTGGTCAAATGATAGTGTTTAAAGGACATTTGATTATTAATGGCTGAAGATAAAACCATATCTCATGAAGAAAAGTCATGAAACTAACAAGAAGGGTCATATACCAATCTGTACATTTTGTTGAAATTCATAAAACAGTAAGAATACTAGAAGATCAGGAGCTTCTGTTGGCATATAAAAAATTAATTGGTGCCAAGAAAGAGTAATTAATCAATATATTTAAGGGGTTCTAAGATTTTTCAGTAAATGGTCACAAAATGGGCATCGCAAAAGCACAAATAAATGAATGAACAAAAGCATAAAAAGTTTGGAGTCATCAAGTAACTACCACATTCAGATTTGTTCTTTAGTCAGATAGCCAGGAAGGCAAATTTTACATTATTCTTAGATAAATAAGAAACGTTTCCTGTAAGACTAAATATATTCGGTGCTCTGTACTCCAGGCTTATTACCCTGGGAGAGGTGCATGTCTCCTTCTGTAGTTGAAAGGCTCTGCCAATAAGGTAGGCTGTTAAGTACCCTGGGTATTGATAAGGTTAAAGTATGGGAGAAACTGCCCTAACCGGTTTGGCTCAGTGGATAGAACATTGGCCTGCGGACTCAAGGGTCCCAGGTTCGATTCCGGTCAAGGGCATGCACCTTGGTTGCGGTCACATACCCAGTAGGGAGTGTGCAGGAGGAAGCTGATGGATGTTTCTCCCTCATCAGT